AAAAAAATGCCAAAACACAAGAGAATGACCTCAGATAGGCCAGAAACTTGCCGTAATCCTCCCACACGCCTCAAAGGTTTGCAAAGAGCCCTTGGATCCACCAAGGCTGCACCATCTAGCCTCCGATTGGGGAGCAAAATGGAATGAAAGCAAATGAATGGCATAAGACATCAACCGAATCTATCAAATGTGGACTTGTTCCAGGGAAATCATGGAAATGGTGTGCTTTGCGCCCCTTTCAGAAGGCTTCAAGAGTGTATGATGCTGTTTCTTACTTCGAAACACGTAGAACAGAACCCAACCTCCAGCCCCTCACGCCCCGACCCCCAGCCCCCGACTTGTTCTGCTCAAAACAGGACTTCGGCAGAATTATCTACTTCATATGTTTCTATCGAAGCCATTTGAACCGTTTACTGGTGGCAATGAAGCATAAAAACAGTCTTGGGTGCAGGTTCGCAATGACACCAATAGTGTTTTTTGCCTGCCAACCAGCTATGGTTTTGCAGCAGAACGTATAGGATCTGTTTTGTGAAGTTAACACGCAAGGCAGCCAACGCCAAGCCTTTCAACCCAAGACTGTGTTCTCAAAGGCTGGCCACCCATAGCGACCACAGCCTGGCGCGGCAAGGTGGCCCAAATAACTCTATTTCTCAAAGAGATTTGCTGAGACATAGTTTGTAAGGTTTCAAAAAAAGGCAGCAAATCTCCATAGGTGAAAAGAGATCTTCTGACTGCAGCCGATAAGATGTCTTCACAGAAGAGCTTGAGCGAAGGTTTCAACAGACATGAGATAGTCTGAGAGACATTGCCATCACACAAACAAATGAACAGTTCCAGGCCTCTCGACTGCTTCCAAAAACTCTAATCGCTCCCATCGCCATTCTCTTCAGCAGCGGACAAGTGCAAGGACGAAATTGTGCCAATGCCGGTGCCACTGCTGCTAGACGAACTAGAGCTAGACGAACTGGAGCTAGACGAACTGGAGTCTGCGTCTTTGTTGGCAGAAGACTTGGCAGAACTCTTACCCTTAGCTTTAGGCTTGGCAACACGTCCTTTGGCTTTGGCTTTACATTTCGATGGTGCAGCTTTCCCCTTACTAGACTTCTCTGGTTTTGCTTTCGCTTTGCTTTTGGCAATCTTTCCAGGAATGATGATCCCAGATTCTTTTGCTTGTTTTTCAGCCTCCGCGTCCAACTCAACATCACTGCGAACCCTTGGAGGTGGGTTTTCAACTAACTCTTGCTCTGCCACCAAATCTGCAGGAGGCACATCCCCTGCAGCAAGCGGCATTCTGAGATGGTCTCTTTGTCGCTTGAACTGAGGAGCTTTGTTGCACCAATGCTTCAAAGCTACAATGGCAGATTCGCGACTTTCCTGTGTGTTCGCCACAAATCGAATAAAGCGTTTGCATCCAGTGGTATCATTCTTTCTGCGCCACCGGCATGACGCTTCCACCCCACCATATGGAGGAGACGATCGGGCCTGCTTGACAGAAAAAGAAAAAGAACCATACTTTGCCACAGGATCCACAAACAACGCCTCCTCCAGCTTTTTTGGGGCAGCCACTGGTGCTGCTGCTGGACCTGTAGAGCTGGAGCTTGAGCCTGAAGGTGGCAGGTCAAGCTGGCTTCCTGCGCTTTCAGACAGCAACCCCACAGCAGTAGAAGTTGAAACCTCCGGCTTGCTGGTAGGATGTGCAGGTGCAGTTGTCTCAGAATGTTCGGCTGTGGGAAATGGCGAAGATGCACCTTCACACACTTTTTCCATTTCCACATCACCATCACCATCACCCATATCCACATCATTGTGGACATCACAGTTGCCATTGGTGTCAGCAACGTCTCTCAGACGTGAGTTTGATTGAACAGGAGAAGCATCATTGCTTTCGATCTCCACATCTGGAGCTAGCCCGCTAGAATCCATGGATTTGCGTTTTCTGGTTTCAACCATGCATTCACGCGCAGCATTGGCAGGTTGCTGTCCTCGAAATATCTTTTCATATGCTTCTGCCACTAGACCATGTGGAATCTCAAGGATTTTGTGTGATTCACGGAGCCTTCGTGCGTCCAGCAAACACATCAAGTAGAAGCGGGAAACCGTCACACCAGAAGTGAACCATGTTTTGTCCTCACCCATGGCAAAAGAACATGTTCGTTGCTTTTTGACAGGCATGCGTGACCAAGACCAACCCTCGGCGCGCATCTGGTGGACAAGCTGTAACAATGTCATGTTTTGCAAAGAGACATTGTCACTGGAAGCGAATGGCACAGCACAACCAAGCTCTCGCCAAAACTGAATATTCGCAATGGCACTGCTGGTCAAAACATGCCCTTGGCTTGACCTTTTGACGTACTCAGCTGACTCCAAGGCTTGCATCGAAGACAAAAGGTCGGGAGGACAAATATATGCACGGGAGGACCTCGGCAAAGCACCACTTTCCAGCATGCTTTTCAACAACAAATTTGTCTTGCCACCATACATCGGCAAAGTGTATTGCAAATCACCCGGCCGTGTCCACACTTTCAAATCCAAAAGAAACTTGTCCACGCCAAGCTTTTGCGCTGAGTCAGTTAAAGACAAAGTCTCGGTCTTGCCAATGTCCAACAATGCTGATACCAATGGCCTCTCTTGAGAGCCACGATTCTCAAAGCAAGTGCAAACCATGTCGTTGCGGTCATAGTACTGCGAGGCACCAGGGGCTGAAGACGGCCGCCTTATTCGTGATGGCTGAAGCAATAACTTGGGTGGCCGGTTCAAAGAACTGAACAGCTCAAACTCAAAAGGACAAGGCACATTGTCAAAGTAGCACCGCAGTAAACAAAACACCAAAAGATACATTCATACATTCCCATGGCACTGGTGAGAAGAAACGCGTAGGGTCCCCAACAGAGAAAAGCAGCTCTGGTGTCTCCCAAGCCCCTTCACGCAAACAGTCGGTGGCTATATTTGCAACAATCACAGCTTCAGTGACTCCCGTCTTTTTCTTTTTGAACTTTTCATGTTGCTTTTCCAAATCTTTGTGCTCAGACTCATGGTGAGCGGCTAAATGCGAAAGGTCCGCGAACTGCATCCTGGAATGGCGGTAAAAGGCTTGCCTGGCAAATCTCTCATAGGAACGAACCTGCTTGGAATCGGCTATGCGGACAAAATCTGGATGGTTCCGATGGCACGGAAAAAACTCTGCAAACTTTGTCAAATCCCGAGCATTGCCAAAGGCTTCAACCAATTCAGCAAAACCAGTGGGTTCCATTGACAAAAACTCATGTAGCTCTGGCAATCTTAAATTCAATGACAACATTGTGATCGAAAAGTTTGGCGGTTTGCTTTGCCCAAGGTCTTTGTGGGCTGCCTCAATCAAAGGCTCTGCAACTTGGACGAATGTGAAAGGTGCAACAAACCTTTCCAAACCCTCGAAATCTTCAAGGCATTTGGATTCATCATCCAAAAACAGGTCAAGCTCCTGGCGCAAAGGCTTGCTCCTGGAAAACAAATCCTGGACAAGCAAATGCTGCTGCGACTGGCCACTTCCATCCAACGCATTCCACATGTCACGCGCTGACTTCAATGCTTTGCGGGCAATCTTGACATCTGGATGGGCTCCTCCCAAAAGGACCCATGGCAAATTGGAAAAAACTTAGTCGAACACGCAGCTGCTCAACAATGACTGAAGCGCCATGCTGCCATTCATTCAGCAATGTGGACCATTGTTCATTGCTCAACCGTTCTTGGCAGTGATGAATGAAGTCACGCGAATGCTGCTGAAGGACATCTTCCAAGTCTGACAAACAGTTTGCTGCCAAAAAAGGCGCTTGGCACCCCATCATGGGACATTTGCGACGCACACCATCAACACGAGTAATTTCTGAGCGCAACACCTTTGCATGATTGGAGACTGACGTGGCTTCATCCAAAGTCAAACTGCTCTGGCCCACCGTGGCAAC